GTGTCCGGGGATCTGACCACCTGCGCAGGATAGCCACTTCTCGACAAGCACCCCGCACAGCTGGTCGCAATCCTCACGAACTCCAAGGCGCGCGGCCAGGTAATTCTCGAGGAGTTCAAACAGCGGCGCGAGCTTGCGTGCGAAAACAGCAGGGTCCCTGAAGGGCCTGGCGTCGAGACGGTCCGCGCATGCAGCGAAGCCCGTCTATGACGACGGTCAGCGAGGCTACACGAAGGAATAGACAATTGGTTGACCTCTGTCATGACTGTTCGGAAACAATCGTCCCACTGGCACATATCCTGAGTCAACGCAGCGATGTCCTGATATATCTGGTCAAACGTTCGCTGAAGCGAGGGGTGCGCAGCCTGAAGTTTGTCGCAATCGGCAGCGTCCATCTGCAGCATATAGCCGTCGGCGAGAGACATGAGCTGGAGGATGTACGAAGTTAGACAAAGTCCAGGGACGCCAGGCGACGAACACGTACCGTATGCCACACGTTTTCCAACTCCTCGAAGTGCTGGCGAACATTAGCGAAAGCAGAAGACAGCCCCTCGAGCAGATCGGCCGTCTCGCCCTCCTCTAGTGGATAGATGGTACGGAGCGCTTCCCGGTGTATGACAAGCTCGGGTAGGACACGGTGCTCAAAGATGCGCTCGCGGCACGCTTGACGGGCGGAGAGAACCGCAAGCCAGGTCGCGGAGTCCGGCGGGAGCCCCAGGGTATCTCCAAGGCTGCGTGAAGACACCGACGAAGTGAGTACATAGATCGCAAGCAGAGGGATACGTGTGCGTACTCGAAGATCTCTTTGTCTAGACTATCACAGAGCGAATGGACGAGCGCCGACGTCTGGGTGACAGTCAAGACTGCCAGCGCCATGCCGACCGGGGCGTTGTTAGGAGGCTTGAAGAACGCAGCCATGGGGGGATTCAGGAGGCGAAGTGGTCGAGCAGATGGGTGGGTGGCAATGGAGAAGATGTGAGGTCGACAGGAGACGACATGTGCAGGGGAGAGTGGAACGGGGATTGACCAAACGCGACTAAACAGCACGAACAAAGGAGAGAGGGATCATCTGCAGCGTGCCAATCTAGATCCTACGCGTGTTTGTCGCCTCTGAGCGCTTTCTGGACGAACTCTTGTGGGATGCATGCGTGCGGGTAGGCAACCCACGCGATCACGCGAGGCGGAGCCTGCCGAATCGCAGCGTGTCTCTGACGTAGGCACACTGCATCGGTTTATCTTCGTGCGCCCCGCAAATGGAAGTTCGCGAATGAGTATATAGTCCATCGCGAATGAGTATATAGTCCATAGGAGAGCGGTGGCTGGATCGACATACCATCGAAAGCTGTGCGAGGTGAATCGCAGAACGCAGAAGATGAGGTCTTCTTGAAAGAGGTGATGACCAACAGAGGGAGGCTCTGCGCCGACAAGTAACGCTCGGGGTATGGCGGTGAGGTTGACCATAGTACTACTGATGAGGCCTCAGCGGTGTCGGGCAATGTGCTTTGATGTCGAAGCTGAATCGTCCGATGGATGTGCATGACTTCCACCACCAAGCACGCGGTGAAGCCCCCGCTATCGAGAGATGTCCTCCCGTCCGCGGGAAGTCGAGAAGTCGAGCAAGGACCGTCTGGCCCCGTTTCAAGGCGAATTGTGTAAAAAAACAATACGGCAAGATCGATCATAGGCCCGTGAATGGAACAGAAGTGCGCGAATGAATATATAGACCACCGGAGAGCGGTAACTGGATCGACAGACCATCGAAAGCTGTGCAAAATGAAGCGCAGAACGGAAAACATGTGGTCTTCTTCAAAGGGGTGACGACCAACAGAGGGAGGCTCTGCGCCGGCAAATAACGCTCGAGGGAGGGCGATAGCAGTGAGGTTGACCATAGCACTGCCTATGATGCCTCAGCGGTGTCGGGCGATATATGGTCTGATGTCGAGGCTGAACCGTCCGATGGATGAGCATGACCCGAAACACCAAAGACCCGGAGGACCGTGCGGGCGCGAGATCGTAGCTTGGCCAGGAGACGGCCCATCCGCGCAAAATCGG